TAGCTTTTACAGCAATTGGAAACCAAAAAAAAAAAAAGGCAGAACAGTTATCAGTGGTTTTTTTTAAAACATGCCACTTTCTTTGTTCTTGAGGCTCATGTTAATGTGAATAGGTAGCAATGGCTTGGCAGGACACAATGCAAACAAAAAAAAAAATACAAAAAAAAGAAAACTACATGGGTAGAAATAACCAATTATTTGTTTTGGATTGTGCAGAATATGAAGGTGTCATGCTGTGACATTTGATAGGACAGTGTTTTTTTCTTCCTCTGGCTGTTCTCAACAACAGCAGTGACAAATGATGCTCAGTCAGACTCTCAGCAGGGTGACCTCTGTCCTGGGAAAGGCTGCTTCACTTCTGCATTGCATATGATTCTTCAGGGACAATGAGAGCTCAATGATGATTTATGGTCACCTGGGGAGCTGCAAATGTAAGGCTACATGTGCAGAACAGTTTGAATAGATTTTTGCAGAATAAATTATGTTTATGTAGTTTTTGGAGCTTTGAGATTTTACTTTTTGTTTGTCTGAGTTTTGTAATGATACTGCCACCTGAGCAAAACACAGAACTACACCATTTGCTCTCATAGCTTGCGCTCATACTTAACAATTTTTTTTTTTTTTTTTTTTTACTTTTTTCAGCTTACCAGGTGTTAACATTGGTGTCTGATCTGAGCTGGATGGTTGTCGTTTCTATAGATCCCCAATATGCATCTTGAAGATAACTATTCAGATTAAGTTTGTGTGGGTTGTTTTTTGTGTTTTTCCTCTTTCCACCACCAGGCGGTGCCCTGTCCTCGTTGGGCCTCCCTGCACACCTGCGGCTCGTTGGGTCATTACCAGAGGAGTACTTGAGCATCGGGCTGTCACCACCTCGACGCCAGAGTGTTTGCCAGTAATGGGTACTCTAGCCAAAAGGAGATTAGCAGAGTCTAACCTTAGCATTGTTTCTCTAAGTCTGAACTTGTTTTTTGTCTTTGTTCTTTGGCAGGAAGACTTCCTGTGTTACTGGATAAGCCTGGACCTTCTACCCCTGGAAGGATTTACTGAGTCTCACTGAGCAAGGGGAAGACCTCCAGATGATCCGTTCAAGTCCACTCCTGGAAAACCAAGTGACAGTCCGCTCCTTTACTCTTCTGGGTCAAATGTATGTCTGCCTGTCCACTCTCCAATGGGGTCCCTCTTCTCTGGATCAAACCCCCACAAATGGATCCAAGGATAAACCAAGAGCCCCTCAAAAGTGAGTGCCTCTCCAGCAATATTCAAGCCTCAGTCTATTTTCCCACTGTCCCTGAACTGATCTCTGTGATCTCCCCTTCAGAGTTTCAGGTTGCGGTTCACCAGTCCGCTGAGTTCCAGCATTGTTTCCCCACAGTTTCAATCTCCATCAGTGTTTGCTAACCTACAATAAACCTGTTAAACTTTTACCCTTGGTCTCTGAGTGATTCTCTGCATGTGGGTCAGATCTTTAAAGCCCATTATGACAATAACATCTTGATTGTTTGCTAACTGGACCCAATTAACAGGTATGCACTAGACATCACATCTGTGGGAACATCGGCCCAAAGTAAATAAAGAAAAATAGGTTACATGCTTATAGATGCATTGAAGCTGAAGTACTGAGGTGTCAGTCAGCTCAAAAAATGTTTTACTCGGAAAGGGTTAAATAAAAAGGCTATTTCAAAGATACTAATTAGGAAAAACTTACATAATGTCTCTGTAAGTAGGGGGAGGCTATTGTGTCTACTGTACTATGTGGATCATTGCATATAGTTTAGATATTTGACATTACAATTTAAATCATATCTCGGCAGAGATGGGAAGTAACGAAGTACAAATACTTCGTTACTGTACTCAAGTAGATTTTTCTGATATTTTTACTTTAATTTACTACTTATTTTTATGGCGACTTTTTACTTCTACTCCTTACATTTTTACACAAATATCTGTACTTTCTACTCCTTACATTTAAAAAAATTGGCTCGTTACTTTAGTTTTGAATCATTTCAATGGAGTTACCATTATTATTTTTCACGTCATCAATACCAAATTCAATCCAATTGGATGGGAATCTATGTTGCATTTGACGCACCACTACAAGATGAATCGACAGATTCGGCGGTATTCATTGGCAGCAAATCATTGCAGCTTGGTGGCGGTGGCGTTAGCATAGTAGCATGGACGACGAGATGATTGAAAATGAACACAACGGAGATCTAGTCCTATTGGCAGACATCCATTTAAAATGTAGGCAACGGCATGAAAAAAGTGGTTTCTACTTTTACTTTTATACTTTAAGTAAATTTACAAGCCTGTACTTTGTTACTTTTACTTGAGTAAAGAAGTTTAATCAGTACTTCCACTTTTACCAGAGTATTTTTTAACACAAGTATCTGTACTTTTACTCAAGTACGGAAAGTGAGTACTTTTGCCATCTCTGTATCTCGGTGAATGACATTCTTAGTACACTCACCAAAGGGTGATCAAGCACTATAGTTCTTTCTTTGAGACCCTCATAAACTACACCCAAAACACTTATGCTGTACACACAATTCTTTCCTTCATCTACTGATATAAACACAGTTACTGGCTTCTTTCAGTTTCAGAGGATTATCCTACGGACCAAAGAGATGTAAAAGGCAACTGGATTAGTTTAAAAGGAGGTTAGAGCATGCTGGTGTGGGAGAACATGAAAAAATGTGGTTATTGGATTAGGATCAACTGTTTTGCTGCAGATAATATGATCACATAAGAAAAAGCTATCCAGACTGGATTCCAGAGCTGACTCCAATTACCACGTGACCAGAGAATATGGCTCATAGTGGCAAGTGATTGTTTGCCTCTTGAGCATCCATCAACAGAAGTTTTACATACTTTACTTATGGGACTCAGACAATGAGAAAGCAAAGATACTGCTGCTCCTTAATATTGTGGCACAATGTGTGGGAGTAACATTTTATTGGCCTAGTTAATTCAGTTTAAGTGATCTCTTGATGACGGGCAAATTTTTTAAACTGACAAAGCACAAAAAAGTAAGCAATGGTAAAAGCGTTAAGTCTGTTATTGCTTCTTACCTTGAAGCCCAGATTGCTAATGCTTCATGATCATGAAGCAAAAATAGATACATTTATTGTATCATAAGAGATCCATTCTTTTCATCCATTTAGTTTTACGAATTGCCCTCATATTTCATGTGTAATTGCCCTCACATTTCATGTGTAACGATATCTCCAGTTAACAAAAGACAAAAAAAAAAAAAGATAGCCAGTGAGATTTACTGATTTATGTATAAATATCCATCAACTGTTTGATTTTTTTCTCATCCGCTGTAGAGCTTTTTCAACCAATCATTTGTGAGATATTGTCCTTCTGTAGGGCTACATCCAGACTACTTCAACCTTCAGCTCTCCTATGTTTCCTAAGCATTTGTGTTGTGGGTTTGAATCTCTGGGCCCTGAAGCGTGGCAACACATCCGAAGGGACAGCAGGCATCAGGTTAATGCAATTCAGTACAGACGAAACAAAAAAAAAAAAACTGGTGCCTGTTTTGGCACTAGTGAAGAATGAGCAGAGACGAGTTTGGATAGCAGATGGCAGAGAATCTGTAATTATAATTCTCTAGTGAAAAATATGGCACTGTTGGAATGAGGTGCTGCCGCCGTTGCCCCGATTCCAAAAATGTCTGTACTTTTGGCAAAAGGTTCAACAGACCTGTGTTTCTTTTAGGTTGGAGTTTTTCGTTGTGGGCTTCAGCTGTTGGGGACAGACTCTCTTTATGTTGCCAGACTACAGCATTGGTGTCTGCCAGCGTGTGTTTGGAAGGGTAATTACCTGCCCAATCACAAACAGAATGAATATGGACAAAGACGGTCGAACTGAATTTAAATGCGATGAGCCTGTAATGGATCCAAAACGGGGGGTGAGGTTTCAGCTCTGCCCTGAAGGGACTCACCTGTGATTTAGCCTCCTTCCCTCTATATGTGACAGGGGGCATTCGAGCATCACCCCTCCCTGCACCCCCATGACCCTGAATGCTCCTTGTTCTGTAGGAGGGTGCATAATTGACTAATTAAATGGTTAAAAAAAAGCCCCAGAAAAGCTAATTAAAGACATTGCTCCATCAGCTCCTGCCTGTCTGTTTCTTTCAAGAAGGACTCCTATCCTGGCATTGAAGGTCAAACAAAGAAGTGTGCTCTGGACAGATTTTGTCTTTCCTATCTTGCCATTCTTTGTAGTATAAAACAAAAACATTAATTTATGAGCATGAAAAACAATCCCTTCTATCTTAGTAAGTTGATCCTATTGTTAAAATGAATAAAAAAAATTACAAAGATATAGAAGATGCAAAAAAGAAATAAACATAAATAAATGGTTAAATTCTGTGTTTCTGTCCGGGAAAAAAAGCAAACTTGGTCTATGTTTTTGTTTTATGGAGGTTTAATCCTCCATGTCACTTTAGGCTAGCTGGTCTCTAAATGAAGCTTAAAATCAACATGAAGAGTGAGTAGTAAACATTACATTAGATGACCATCTCAGATACAGCGAAGCCAGTTTAGAAGTTTAATTGCATAAATTGCATGTTTTTTGTGATAATTTTAAGCATTTGCTGCTCGTGTCATGATCTGCCTTCATAGCTCATCTTAATTGTTCATTTCACTCACCTGCTCGGTCTCTAATTATCACTGATCTCATCCACCTACGTCTGTTCCTTTATATTGGGCTCAGTTTCAACTATCGGGGCCAGATCATTGTTTGTTTGTTGCCTGTTAGATGTCTTTAGGTTCTGTTTCCATAAGTTTTAGTTAGTCTAAGGTTCCTGTCCCCGTTCCAGTGAGCAGATTATTCTTGAGTCAGTGTCTTCAGGTGAGTTATTCAAGAGCTAGTGGTGAGAGCCTTTTAGTATTTCCTTTGTGATTCTGATCTCCTGATTCCATTCCCTCTCATCCACTGGCCCTGTGTTTCCCTGTCTGATCTGTTTGCCTGAACCATCCTTTAGACTCCTACTGGATTCTGCCTGTGTGTTTCTGTCTGAGCTTGTTGCTGGACGCACGGGTCTCTGAACCTGCCTTCATTCTCTGAAGCCAGAATCCCTCTGTTCCCGTTTGGGTCGGAACCTCTGATCGAGCTGGATTCCTGTACTGTTCCTGCCTGCTCTGTTTTCCCTTGACCTGGATCTGCTTCCAGCTACACTCTTGGCGGCTCAGTGCCGCCTCTCGTTGGCAGTGCATCGGCTGATCCTGCCTATAAATGAGAGGATTGAGAGGATGGACTGAACTGTTAATTCAGGTAAGTGACTAAATCTGATAATCACCTGTCAGATGATAGTGGTCACTAACCTGTGTTTCTCCCTCCAAGTGTCAGTGATTGGTTTGTTTTCTATCATAGTGCTGTTTTTTTGACCACAGTGCATTGATGTGAATTTGTAATTTTCCTGTAGAAATATCTTACCTAAGTTGAAGCTGTTGGAGTCAGCTTAGCCTTGTATGTCCAGAAACAACTTGAGCTTGGGCCTATTACCTTCTGGTATAGAAGAGTATTAGGGCCACTGGAATAATCAAATAATATATAAGAAGTCAGAATTCTGACTTTTTTTTCCTCTGAATTCTGATATTAGTGTGAATTCTGATTCTTCTAGAGAATTGGGGCCAGCAGGAAAAAAATGTAAAAGTTTGCTGATTTCTCTTTTTCCCATGTTAAACTGAAATAAAATTAAATCTGTTTAAGTGGCCCTAATCCTCTTCGATATTCTGGAACACCTAGATTCAATCAACCTCCACCCCTTTCTCCACCATTGTAGCTAAAGCAGCTTCTGACTTTTCCATGGTGCTTCTTCTACTTATCATGTTGTCGTTTCATGCTTGTTCATCATGGACAGGTTCATGCAACCTGTGTTTATCCAAGCTGGACTTCCATCTTTCAGGTCTCTGAGTGAAGCACTAGTATTAGCTCACACAGTCTACTGGATCTCACCAATACAGCTCAAGCACACTCTCACCAACCAGCAGTTTCAGGCCTGGGGGGGACATCCCTGATCTTATACTCCTGCTTCTACATATCAAAGTGAAATTCAGTGCTAATGTTCCCTGCTGATGTCTGAGCACCAAAACTAAAGTAATTGTATCAATAAATTCTTCTAATTGTCTTTTTCTTTCCATGTGAGTTTTTCCAGATTGAAATGTCCCTTAATGACCATAATGGAGAAATTCAGGTTGTAGCAGCAGCAAAGAGACAGGTGACACATAAAGGTGATAAAAAGGAGGATGCACAGTGAGAGAACTTGCTAAATAAGAGATCAGTAGTTTATACCATATTTACGCCCAAAGAATGTACAACAAAGACTTGGATTTGATGTTTAAAAAGGGAAAAAATATGCTTGTATATTTTTCCATAAAAAAAAAAAAACACAGAATAAAATAAAAACATGCAGATAAAAGGGTTGTACTGTAATCAAGTACTGGTAGTGAGCAGTGATGGTTACAAAGTCCATTAGCTGCTGGGATAAAGGGGCTCTGATAACACTCGTTTGCACACCCAGGATGCAGCAGTTTGTCACTCAAGGTGTTTTCCCGTTCCATAACAAATTCATGAATGTAGTTGGAAACATTGCCCAAGAGCGATTAACACTTTTGGTAGAGTTTATCTGTCTTCCACCACCTGCAGTCTGACCAAGGGGCTTCCTGGAACAGAGTTGACCTACCTGATAAGCTCATATTTGCTTTCTCTCAGCTGAAGATATGACACAACAGACAGCATAAAAGTGATTTATTTGTAATATCCTATGGGACATTTATCTGGATGTACTGTATTCATGTAAGGAAAATTTGGACCCTGCATGAATTAAAGAAAATCCCACCATAAAATCGTCCGCACTAATACATTTAAAATCACAAAAAGTAAATTGTTTGCTCTGTTCTGACCATGAGTTAAAATATGTACTCAAAAGCCCAAAGATTGAACTATCTAATAATATTCCAACAATGAATGAATTAATGTAAACCTTGGACCTAAACTGTATGTTCCAGAATTCAACATTTTTTATGTATTATATTTTTTGGCTATTGTTTTTGGCCCAGCGTTATGTGTAGGGATCCTTTTGTGAAAACAAAACCTTTTCAGTTCATGAACACAATTTTTGCATTCTGCAAAACTGCAGACAGCGTCATGGAATCATATGCTTTTTTTTATATTCCTGTTGTGTGCATCTAAGATCACGAAGCCCTTCATAAATAATGCTTATGATGCTGCCAAAAAAAATGTACACCCTGAGTCATATCCCACTAGCTGATGGTAATTTAACCTTTCCAGTTCCAATTACTACTTAGGATCACACACACATCTTCCTGCTTCCCTTCCCAAAGGTTCTCCTCATATATTTATACGTATCATAAATATTTTAGAAGACTAATGTCAGAGGTGAACATATGTTCTATCCTAAATGTTACTGGCCACTCCATTTGCTTATGACGGAGAAGCAGAAATGTTGGGTATGAGAGACTACAGGATTGTAACTTCTGTTTAGTCTCTGAGTCAGCATGACAGGCGGTCCTGAACATGGTTTAACATGGGTTCTGTTTGTTCATGCAGATTTCTCTTGAGGAAAATGACCCTAAAAAAATGTTATGTAATTTCTATAAAACGAATTGCCCTTGTCACATGCCACAACTGCCAACTATTCAGCCCAATAGCTAATCTACTCATGAATTTAAGCGTATAGATCTTGTGTCATGTTTTTTAGTCTCTTGGTAGATTCTGCTTTGCTGTCTTTAGAGCTTACAACACATGGAATGTGACAGTTTTATATTTCAGATTTTCAAGTGCACCTGAATTGAGCTTTATCTTATATTCCCATCGTCATCTCAGATGGGAATCCAGCACAATAAATGTTTCAGTGTTTAAATCACCATAAATTTCTCTTTAACAATTTAAGGTTTAAGGTGTCATTGTATACATTTTCAGGATAAGATGACACCCTCAAACTTACACAACAAAAACTTTACAATTTAAGTATATAAACCTAAACCCAGATTATTTTGAGTTTTTTTTTCCTATTGTTGTTAATCATATTAATCGATTATTGAAATTGTCAAGTAATTTAGTAATAAATCATAAACTTGAATATATAGTAAAAGATGTCTTTAGCTGAGAGAGCAATCCACTTAGAGCAATAATTATATCAAAATTGTTTTGAATTTAATTAAATCGACAGATAATTGATTTGCAAAACAATTGTTAGTTGCAGCCCTAGTTGTAATTGCCATATTGTATGCCTCCCATTCATTATTCTCCAATAGAAACATCCCAATATGAATTAAAGCCATTATTAGACATTAATACTTGCTGAAAAATATAAATTGCAGTATGAAGGCTTTTTTTGTATTGATAGATGAGAAAATGAGGCTTTGCTTTTTATGTGCATGAATAATTTATAGCAAGCAAGGCAGATATTAGCTCCTTAGAAACAATAGTGACAGAGAGCATAGTTCAGGATTCATTTTTCTAATTAAAGTGTGAAGCTGTGGTTAGTTCCCATGTTCCCACCATAATAATAATCTGAGTGCAGTGCTAGAGTTACCCAGCTGGTTCAGAGAGCAGCTCAAGTCAGAGTTTAGGAGATTAAAGAGGTGGTGCCCTGCATATCTTTACAGTATATTATGGTCATTATTCAACATTTAATCATTTCTTTCAACCAGTAGTTGAATAATGAAGTGTTAAGGGGATTTTTTTTTTGTTCTTCTTGCAAAGAAAAAAAAAAACATGTATTCTGTAGCCTGAGGAGAAAACTCTGCTATGAAGTCTTCTGGGATGGGTCCCTATGTATTGCCTGCCAAAAACAGTAGGATGAATGTGCAGTGACTGACAAGGTTTTATTTTTTCATTATTTAGGATGTGTGCAGGCACCAAACTTGGCTGATATTACTTACCAACTATTATGCCAAGGGCAGCTTTAATTCTATCCCACAGAACCACTGTCAAGTGGTTCACACTTTGTTTTTGGTATTTTAACTGCAGGTTTCCCCCACTTGAAAAGGCAGTTTGCTTCCAGAGATCTCACAGGATTTCACTCATCACACCAAAGTTGATTCTTTCCTTTTTTGTCTTTTATTTGAAAGTTCAATCAACAATAGTAGTAGCAGTATTAGTAGTAGTAGTAGGTGAAAAACCTTTAAATATAAACAGAAAACACAATGATTAACATTCTTTAAACAAAATTGTTCCTGAAACAAAATATAAGATTTAAACCCAAAATCAAACATATTCAAAGAATTATTCAGTGATACATTTTAACATTCTAGTGTTCATTTACTTTCTCAAATACATTTTAAATGATTCCTCTTTTTTTCTTCTTTTTCTTTTTTATTTATTTATATATATTTTTTCTCAATGTTTTAACATTTCAGTCTAAATATTCAAATAATTTGTGGCTCACCGGCTCCTTCTCCTTGGAACAAACTTTCCTGCAGTGCATTCACCCAGGCACCCTCATAGTGCTCATTGTTGCTTAGTGAGTGAACATCTCCCAACTGATCCTTTAATTATCTTCACCTGTCTCCAGGTTGGGAGACCCTCTCCCTATACTCAGTCAGAGGAGGGCGGGGCCTGAATTCAGCTTAACACCTCCCACTCGATCTTCCCACAGAAACTGCTGGAAAGATCGCATGTATCAGTCAATATACAGTCAATTTACAGTCCGACTTCCTTCTGGGTTTCCTGCTTGCTCCTCTGCTGGCAGGAGAACAACTAGTCGTCTGACATCTCTGTGAAGGATTGTAAACTGTGTGTCCCTCAGAATGCTGGATGGAGGAAGCTTGGATGCAGGATTCTTGGATGCGGGCCTCACCTCTGGAGTGCACAAACTTGTTACAACTTTAACATTTACATCCCGCACAATGCCTCTGGTATCTGCATTAACGCTGATGACTCTTCCAAGCTTAAAGTGACCCCTCAATGCATTCTGGTCACACAGCCAAACAATGTCTCCGACTGCAACATTTCTTTTCATAGTGTGCCATTTACTCCTGATAAAAAGATTAGGTCCAGCAAGCTGGCTCCAGGACCTCCAGAAAGTGTTAACCTGGTGCTGCATTTCTTGAAGTCTCTTGTAGGGATAACTTGTGAAATCAAAGGTTTTCCAGTCACCACTTGATGATGCTCGTCCCAGCAGAAGTGAATTAGGTGTGACATACTGCACAGTGTCCTCTCGGCTCTGTACCCTGGCATCAATGGGACGTTCATTTGCAAGGTTGGCAGCAAGCTGAAGTGTTGTTTGGAACTCACTGAAGCTTAGTCCCGACTCTCTTCCCAGGCTCTGGAATGCTCTTTTCACAATCCGGACACCTGCTTCAGCAGAGCCATTGCGATGAGGGGAATCCGCTGGCTGGATTTTCCACTGCCATTCAGTTCCATTCTGAGCTGAAGTTTCTTCTACAGCGGACCTGTTCAACCCATCCAGAAATTGATACAACTCCTCCAGAACCGGTTTGGCACCAATAAAATTGGTCCCTGGATCAGACAAGATCTTTTTAGGGTGACCCCGAATAGCTGTAAATCTTTGGTAAGCCATTAGAAAACTTTCAGTTGACATAGAGTTAGCAAGCTCTGTGTGAATTGCTCTGCTGGCCATGCAGCAGAATGCCAACCCCCAAACCTTCATATTGACTCTCCTCTTCACATCATCTTTAACCTGATATGGTCCAAACAGGTCAACTGTTGTAAACTCAAATGGGGCTGCGGGCCGAGTTCTTTCTTGAGGTAAATCACTCATTATTTGCTGACATAATTTGGCTCTGGTTTTCTTGCAGATCACACAATTGTTAATTACTTTTTGAGTAATTCTTCTTCCTTTGATGATCCATGCTTTCTTTCTCACCTTCAGAAGAGTTGCAGCCACTCCCTCATGACCTCTGTTGTGAGCTTCGTAAACCAACAGCATTGAGACCCAGGCATTGTATGGTAACAGAGGAACACCAACCTTGTCTTCATTGAAAGCCTGGATCCTCCCACCACAAAGCAGAAGCCCAGATTCTTCCTCTTTGTAAACCACCAAACGGTCCATGGTAGTGGCTGGAAAGGTGACACCGTCCTGTGCAGCAAGAAAAAGATCTCTTAAAGCATCCTGGCGCTCCATTACAGTAATGACCCCAGTTAATGGCACTGCTTCCCACTTTGAGGTTCTCACGATCCTCTTTTGACCTACAAAGCGTTTTGCAGCCCGCCAGACCTGGGCAATCACTCGGAGGAGCAAACCCAAATTGCTAAAGCGTCGTACATCCACCAAGTTCCTGACTGCAGTATTGGTGGGCGGTCTCCGAGGTTCTGGATCTGGTGGTTCTTTCTTTGCCTGTGCTCTTGTAAGTACAGCAGCAAACGATTTTTTCTGCATCTTTCCAATGGTTTCTCTTTCAGTTAATGAAACATCCTTTGGAGACTTTATTGGCCACTTACCAGTTGGTAGACTGAGAAAGTTTGGGCCTTGCTGCCATGCAGAGTCTTCCTCCAAATCCTTTGAACCAGACCCACGAGTGATGATATCAGCAATGTTCAGGGGACCAGGGATCCACAGCCAATCCTGAAGTTGTGTACTATCTTGGATTTCTCCAATCCTATTGGCAAAAAAGGACTGGAAACCATAACTTTCACGTTGAATTGCACAGAGAACAGTTTGGCTGTCAACAAAGTGGTACCATTGTTTTACTTTAATTTTGCAATACTGCACAAAGTACCTCTTCAGTCGGGCAGCAAATACTGCTCCACACAGCTCAGCCTTGACAGCTTCCCCCTTGTGGTCTAAGGGTGTTAGTTTAGCCTTAGATTCTACCAGCCGTACCACAGGACCTTGATCACATGCCCAGCGCAGGTAGAGGACAGCACCATAAGCCTGCTCACTGCCATCAGAGAAGGTAATTGCATCAGGCTCAGCAGATGCACCCACTGGTGTCAAAGCTCTTGGAAACTTAACCTGGTTCAGCTTGGTATATTCTTCAAAGAGATGAATGGCATCTGCTCTAAGCTTTTCTGAGAGTGCAAGGTCCCAAGTGTCTTTGATAGTTCTAAGCTTAGCTTCCTGAAATGCTCTGCGGACTAGAATGGCCCCTTTCTGCTTAACAGGTGTTGTCAGACCAATTGGGTCATATAATGCAGAAACTTGGCTGAGTAATTGTCGACGTGTTAGTGGGTTTGGTGTCTGGGCTCTCACCTCTTCCAGTTGAAGATTTCTCCCTTGTCTCATTTTCCTTTTTCTCTTTGAGAAGTTTATTCCAACCATGACATGGAGCTTGTCATCTTCCACTGTATAGCCAAGACCAAGAGCTTTGTTGTCATCCTCTTTAAGCTGATTTGGCAGAATCATCTTTGTAGCAGCCTCCCGTTCTTGTTTCTCAGTAGGCTGGTTTCCACTTTGACCAGAGAAGACCCATGGTTTTAACTCGAACCCGCCTGCATTCAGGATCTGCTCCACATTTCCAGTGATAATTTTGAGCTGGTTCAAGTTGTTATGAGAGGTCAAAAGATCATCAACATAGCTATGCTCTTCAATTACTCTCCGCTCCTCCACAAAATGGCTGAACTGGGGGAGTTTAGCTGTCTCTCTTAAAGCAAGTTGAGCAATACATCCTGCTGGCTTATCACCAATGTTGACTCTAGTGATTGCAAACTCACCCAGCTCCTCCTCCTCAGAGTCACGCCACAGGAACCTATGTAGGTGTACCTCTCGGTCTTCAAGCCATACTGAATTATACATCTTGCGTATGTCTCCCAGGGCAGCAAATCTTCCACTTTGGAATCTGAGAAGTACAGCTCTGATTGAATTTAACACATCTGGGCCCTTCAGCAGAAGATCATTCAAACTCACCCCTCTACACTTTTGACTGCTGTTCCAGACCAACCTGACTGGAGTTGTGACAGAGTGTGGGTTTGGTGCAATGAGGTGACTGATGTACCATACTGGGCCAGTCCATGTATCCAAGATGTCTTTAGACAACTTCATTGCAGCTCGCCGCTTAACCATCTCATGAATTTGAGCTGCATATGCGGCCTTCCACTCTGGGTCCTTAGCCAGTTGCCTCTCAGTCCTCATGAATGTAGCTTCAACTGCACTCCTGTTGCAATGTAATGTGGCTGGATCTTCTACCCAGGGATAGCTGGCATGCCAATGAGGCTTCCCACTATGTTCATCTGAAACGACATATGTTAGTCCACTTTTTACCACTTCCAGCTCCCTTTCTTCAGAGAGAGTCATCTCTTTGCCACCTGGCTGGCAGTTTCCACAGCGGCAACCTCCACATTTTGGGATGCAACCAGCACCGATGCTGTCCCATTTCCACCACTCTAGAAACCTGGAAGTAGAAGCTACACAATTTGATTTGTGAGGTTTAATGGCAGTCAAAGGCTGTTGGCTCTGTGTACTTGGCACTACACAAACATGTTCTTCATACCTCACAGCAGCAGTTCTCATAGATCTTGCGAAGTGTGTTCGTGATGTGTGGGCTGTCATTGTGACCTCTTCAAAGAGCTCAGGATGGGTGCCAGCAACTGTTTTTCCCATTGGTCCATCCCACAGCACAAGATCTCCAATGGTGCATATTTTCTGTGGAGCTAGCTGGCCCTCTTTGTGGCTTACAAGGAGATGGATCTCTTTTGGTCTTACTAGTTCACTGAGTGGAATGCCTGGAAAGAACTTTTGCAGCTTCTTTGGAGACACATGTTTTTGTATGTCAGCAATACTGTCTAGGCCATAACAAACAAGCTGGTGAGACTTGAAAGTGCCTCTTGAGCTGCGGACACGGATTTTCAGGAGGTATCGCTTTGTTTTGACAAAGACTTTCATGCCTCCTACACCATGAACCACAAGCGTGATGTCTTCACTCCTGAGATTTAGTCGGCCTGCTGCCTCATGAGTGATATAATTTGTGTCAGAAGCTAGATCAATCAGGGTCCCGATTTTTTGTCCATCATTAGCTGTGACTTCCAGAATCATCATTAAGACAGGCCACTCTGTTAGCCCATTCTCTGTTAGAAGACTTGAGTGACTTTTTGCAACATGGGAAACCCTTGACGTTGTGTTACAAAATACATTCTGACATTGTTGGGCTAGTTCTGGTGGGAGTTTTTTCACAAATTCTTCTTGGGCTTCAGTGTAATTTCTTGTATTTCTACCTCCCACTGTTCCACTTCTGCTTCTCCTTTGAGTTGTGCTGCCTCTAGATGTTTCAGCATTTGGACACAGATGATAGTGATGGTCCGTGTCCCTCCTTTTCTCACACTCAGAATTTTTGCACAAGAAAAAAGTTTTGCAGTAATCACCAGGATTGTGGATGTCCAGACATCTCCAACATGCTCCCATTTTCCGTACTGCATCCTTCTTCTCTGCAAGATTAAGTGCACAGAATTTCTTACAGAAATAGAGCTTTTTCCTGTGCCTGAAATCCCCACAGACTACACACCCTGAGGGAGGGCTACTTGCTTGGTTTGCGATTCTAGTCCTTGCTTGCCTCTGCTCTGGTCGAGATTCCTTCCTCACTGGATCCTCATTCTTTAGTTGGTCAAGCTGTTCATAGATGCTTTCCTGACTCTTGAGGAAGTCCAGAAGATCTTCAAAGCGCTTCTCTGATTTAGTACTTCTCTCTGCAGCATAGAGAAGCCATTCTTTCTTCAACCCATCAGGGAGTTTGCTCTCAATTGACTTTGTCACAAGAGGATTTTTTAAAGCGCCACTGTCACCAAGGTCATTGAGGTCATCAAGGGCTTTTTCAATAGTTTGGATCAGTTCAACAATTTTCTTAGGCTGGTGACTTTTGACAGGAGGAAGTCTCTGAAGCTCTTCAATTATTTCAATAGCAATAGCTGATTGGCATCCAAACCTGTTTTCTAGTACACGAAAAATGTCATCTGCTGTTTTGTAGGTTACCAGTCGAAGGTCTCTTATTATTTTTTCATCTAAACTGTCAATGAGCTGAAACTTTTTCACTTCTTTTGACCCCGTGGGTTCTCCTTGACTCTGAAGAGCCTCCCAATCTCTTCTCCAGCGATGAAAATCGCGCCTGACGCCAGTAAATTTGGGGAGTGAGGTTGGCTTCAATTTGATAACTGATGTTGGGTAGCTGATGGAAGACGTACTTAAAGTTTTTCCAGCACTTTCTTTAGCCTTGGCTTCTATAAACTCTGCCTTTCTGGACATTAACTTTGGAACCATCTGTTCAAGCTCTCTTACACGCAGGTGAAATTCTTTTTGCTCAGCTGGAGGGGCCCAGCACTTCCACTGTGTGTACAACTCTTTTGTCTTCTTCACCAATCTTTCCATGCAGTCAAACATGAAGTCAAAAGCCTCTTTATTTCCTCCAGAGTCAAAAGACATTACACTCTCTACTTTTTCCTCTGCAGCTTTAACTGCCATTGTCAGTTCCTCTTCTCCAAAGTTTTCCCAAAGAGTCTTCTGGATCAGATTTTTAAGCTCCTTCAGTTTCATTTCACATTCACTTGCAGTTTTATCAATGTCAGCCCTTTGCTGCTCATTTAACTTTGAATCTTCTTCAGAGTCTTCTTGCAAGTCTCTATCTACAAGATACTGAGCTTCCACATCTTCATTTGCTTCCATAACTTTATTAGACTCAATTATTAGTTCCTTGAAACTGTCTTTGAGCTCCTCTTCTGACATTATGGCATGCATTCGAACAATGTTGTTGGCCAGCCGGGAAAATAGCCGTTTAGCAGATGTCCTGTTTCTCTTCAGCTGCTCTTGAGACTCTGAGTCAGCCATTTTGAGTTTCAATAGGGTTCCTGACTCTGCCAATCTTCTGGCCGGTTTTTCACTGTCAAGTGGTTCACACTTTGTTTTTGGTATTTTAACTGCAGGTTTCCCCCACTTGAAAAGGCAGTTTGCTTCCAGAGATCTCACAGGATTTCACTCATCACACCAAAGTTGATTCTTTCCTTTTTTGTCTTTTATTTGAAAGTTCAATCAACAATAGTAGTAGCAGTATTAGTAGTAGTAGTAGGTGAAAAACCTTTAAATATAAACAGAAAACACAATGATTAACATTCTTTAAACAAAATTGTTCCTGAAACAAAATATAAGATTTAAACCCAAAATCAAACATATTCAAAGAATTATTCAGTGATACATTTTAACATTCTAGTGTTCATTTACTTTCTCAAATACATTTTAAATGATTCCTCTTTTTTTCTTCTTTTTCTTTTTTATTTATTTATATATATTTTTTCTCAATGTTTTAACATTTCAGTCTAAATATTCAAATAATTTGTGGCTCACCGGCTCCTTCTCCTTGGAACAAACTTTCCTGCAGTGCATTCACCCAGGCACCCTCATAGTGCTCATTGTTGCTTAGTGAGTGAACATCTCCCAACTGATCCTTTAATTATCTTCACCTGTCTCCAGGTTGGGAGACCCTCTCCCTATACTCAGTCAGAGGAGGGCGGGGCCTGAATTCAGCTTAACAACCACAAAGCATCATTTGTTGACATCTTTCCAGGAATAACAGTTTGATTTTTAACTATAATTCAAATAACCATAAAAAACGCATTTTTAAACTCCAACTCCAATACTTTGGCCTTATCATTGTGGTGTTCATGCTTAGCAAACCATAAAATACAGACATATATTTTACCACCCATTAAAGATATGCCCTGTGATGGACTGGCGACCTGTACAGAGTACCGTATATCCCGCTTTTCGCCCATAGATTGCTATCGATAGGCACCAGCCCCTAACCATGACGGATGAATCTGGAGTAGATGGATTGATGTTAAAAATATCTGGACAAAAAATCCCAACTACAAATACAAGTATCTTGCACTGCAGAAGCACACATAAAAATGCAACCTTTGAAATTGACGTGTATTTCTTTAATGAAAAAACCCTCAAGGAATTAGTATAAACAAAATAAGTTGTTTCACAATCGTTTTATATTCCTGTTTCTACAATTGCTCTAAATATTCCAAACTCCTGGGTCTTCCCCATGAGTTCTACAGCAGTTTTTTTTTTTTTTTTTGTCTGGGGAATAAGATTGCTGTTGAAAATACGACGGTTGTGTGTATAAACCATCTCTGTGGTGATTTGGTCAATACGACAGGGATTCTACTGAAAGACCCATTTTTGAGTTACAAAGTGTCTTGTACAGATTTTCAGAATCCTCAGTATTTGACATCTCTGACCAGATTTCCTGTATTTTTCACGTTGATATTTTTGTTCATGCTGTACTCACTTGGAATACTTGTTCCTAAAAAGTTCAGTCTTGGTTTCATCTAAAAAAAGCACATACTGATGATAGGACCATAAACCTTTTTCCTCATCTCTACAAAACCACCTATAAATACGAAATATGGTCCAAGTGTTTTTAAAGGGTAAATGGCCTGTACTTGTATAGTGTTTATCAAGTCAGAGAACTCCAAAGCACCTCACTCTACAGTCAAGTCATTCAACCATCCATGCACTGATAATGGTAAGCTAAATTGTAGCTGCCCTGGGGCAGACTCACAGAAGCAGAGTGCTACACCAGTGCAATAAGGCCCTCTGACCACAAGCACCAGACATGGTGATTGAAGTGTCTCATCCAGGAACATGTGAGAGACGGACAGAAAGACAAACTCCCACTACTTCAGCGACTGTCAACACAGGAAATAATAGTTTTATGGAAAGATGGTGGCCCCATCAGATCATTCTCTATCTTGGTTCTTTGATGGTGAGCTGTAAGCTTGCTTCTCCTGCACTATTCTCCTCAAATTGCATGGTGTAAAGATAAAAATGGGAATCAGCAAGTGTTGTAAGATAAATTCGAGGAAAGAGGATGTTATAAATTATAAATAAGGTCGTAGAAAGACTGATCAACAGATTAAAAATATTAGATGATGTTGTCCGCTTCAAATTCTTGCTCGTTTTAAGATTTATTTTTCCTGGTACTTTTTGGGGATTGAAGGAAAAAAAAGTGATCCAATAATCTGTGATCAGTAAAATCTAAAAACAAGATTCTGGAGACTGGGCAACGTGACTTTAGACCACTTGTGGTCCTCCAAAGACTGTTGAATATCTCAAGACTTAACCCTTTTGACCTGGACAGGATGCAAATGAATGCATGCAGGCCAATAGAGGGAGCCCGATAGCTATTTGATTTCCAAGTGAGACATCACAAGTCTGTTCCACTCCATTAAAAAATGAAACAACAAAAGTCACTTTCTTTAGTAAGTCAAGTTAAATGAGGATAATCTTTCAAAAGAGATCTGCACGGTGGGTGTCAGGCTGCCCTACAAGGTCTAAAAGCGGCTTCCTAGCCTTTGCAAGAAGGAGCAAAAAGCCCCACATGAATAGCTCTGAGAATGGGAGTCTGTACTGGCAGGTGTGATGAAAGAGGCTTGAAGTACACAGCTGTGATCTGTCACGTTTTGAAGGTGATTTAGGTTTCAGAGGCTTCCAGAGGGTTTTTTTTAAGCTGCCGTGGTAACCTGTCAGATGCTTCAGCTGCAGAAACGGAGACCACATGTCTCCAGGGACCAGCAGGCTTTTCTATTACACTCCAATGTGAGCTGTGTTTGCAGGAGTAGTTATCCCACCAGGCTGTCATGCTCTGCTGTTGTCCCAGACTCTATGGTACACACTCGTCATGAGGTGGCTCTTGGAATATTCAGTGAAGATTAATGAGATTGAAAGTAGATTGTGACAGATAATTTAGAGATAATGAGATTCAGATATTTAATTTGCATTGTGGACAAGAGGATTTTTTAGCAAATAGCTGCAATGTTCACACAATCTAATGTTATCAGTGGTCCGTCTGAATATTAGCTTTGTAACGATCTCATCCACATAGCTGGGGATGATGGATGGACTTCATGTTTTTCATTAAGTCAAGGATTTGTAGTTTTCTTGTAATGAGTTGCAGTGTTTCCACAGAGGTCTGCAGTTAAACTCCAGACAGAGTCCTCATTTCCCTCTGAAAGGGCTCAGGAATATTACTTCAATAAATATATAATGAAAGAGGAATTCAATCAATTCATTACACTGTGAGTAATATTTGTATGCGTTCATTAGGAGGTCCCTCAGTATCTGTGTTTAATATTCTTTGTTTACAGTGGTGGGTCGCATATGGGGAAATTCATGAATATGGAGCAGGTAGCCTCGTCGCACAGTTGCTCATCTTGTATTCTGCACACAAGCATGCCAAATAAAACTGCAGTCAGATGCGTAACTATGTTTTTATCGATAAACATTTTATAAACTCCATGTCGTTACACGGATAACAAAGGATTTGGGTCTTAGAATCTCTTGCCTGCTGGTGAAAAAAACCTTCGCAATTTCTGTGCTGCAGGGGCTTGGTTACAGTCTCTGGAGTCACACAAAGGCAGCCTCTGGAGGTGGGGGGGGGGGGGGGGGGGGGGGGGGGAATGCAGCCTGCAATGAAAAGGTTGTGATGAACATATTGGAGGTGAGCATCTTGCAGCATGTTTCTCTTTTTTTCATCACTAAGTGTAGATTTTGTGTGTACAGCTGTGTCTTGAAAAGTGGAGAGGGGTGGGGGGAAGGAGGAGGTATCTGAACCAGGAGAAGAGACATGGGCTCTGCCCCAGAGCATTTGGCACAAAGGGACCCTCTCCCATTATGCATGCTGGCTGCATCTGTGGGAGATAAGGTTTGGTAGAGGGAGATAAGGTCAGGTCCTGCTAATGAAACACATGCTAAAGGTTTGCATGGAAACCTCCCCTATCTGCTTCACATTCCTTATATTGAAGCATTTTATGCCCCCCTTAATATTACCTCATTATCAAGCAGATCTCTGTACATATATGAATACATAGAGCACCACCATTTCCCTATATCAGATTATTAAATTGGAGCTGTGGAGATGCATAACAGTCAAGAACATCCAAGGACATACAATGTGCCTGGCAGAAATGTTCATATATTTTTCAAACCTTCCACATTTTCCCTTTATAACCAACACTTTAATGTGAAAAACACAGATTAATATATAATCATGTAGAGGAAAGAAAAGTTTGTAAGGTTTTGGTTTACATTTATATTTTCATCACCTGAATCAATATATAGAACCACCATTGTTGCATTTGTTGGGATATGTCTCCAATAGCCCTGCGCAAGCACAGGCAAACATGTCTGCCTCTTTTCATTTGCAAAATAGCTGAAGCCCAAACTGGTGCAACACACGAAACTGTTGCAAAAACAATTTTGAAGAAAGACCAGATCATTAAATAGATTTATGTCTAGACCTCGCCCAGGTCTAGACATAAATGGTTTAGAACAACATACATTTGTTCTAAACCATTTCTTTTTGACACAACTTTTATGGGTTTTTTCCCAGCTAGATCCATCTACTTCTCCCTACATAAGTTTTTTTTTTTTTGGTAGCCTAAAACAGTTTTTTCCTTTCTGTTTTTGGTAAAGACTGACCCTTTTTAACTCTGTTCATCTTCCCATTAACTCTGAGCAGCTTCCTTGTATGATGAAGGGAAAAGCAAAATTCCTAAGCCTAATATTGCCATCGCTATGTTTTGAGATGGGAATTGTGTATTCAGATGCTTAGATTACTCCACACTCATCTGACCCAAACACCCTCTCCCAATTTTATGCTTTGGCCTCTAAATGCCCAACACATGGCTCATCATGTATTGATGCACAGGGTTAATGACAGATAGCAAACTTCATATAACAGAACAGAGATATGACCCACAACAAAATATTTTAAAAATTCTTTTCTACAAAGTTGTTATTGGTAGCTCTAGAAGTATATGGTGACTTGTATACTAGTGTTTTGTGAAGTGTGGGGGTTTGGTGAATGGATGGGTTAGTGTTAGTGTTGTACTTTGCAGCTCTTGCCACAACTTGTCATGCACCCTGCTTATTAATAAATGAATCACTAGGGCTTGAACAAGCATCAATATTTGACGAGAAGGGAGTGACAATGCATTGAAATGAATATTTAAACTTCAAATTTATTTGTTTTCAACTATGGCATTCTACTTGCCACCACATCATAAAAGCCATATTTGTGGACTGCCCAGCTAACAGCTTTCAATGCATGAGATTCTCCCCAGTTTCTGTTAAGATCTTTGAAGCTAACTGAGAGTTACCCCAGGCTTCTGTGCTACTTCTGAGATATATTCTCCTTGTTCAGGTTGCCGGTTGTTTTGGTCGACCTCGTAGGTTTTTAGTTAGTCGTTGTTAGTCGTAATTCAGGTAGTCATTTTTGAACTGTGTTCTGTTTAGGTCAGAATATTGCTTTTAAACCTCAATATATTTTAAGCAACTTACCAGCTTAATCGCTGACACTGTGTTGATTGTGCATATGTAAGTGTTTTTCTTCATGAATGTACTTGAACTAACCTCAGTGGCTCTTACAGAACTAAGGCTTTCTTTGTATATATACTGGGATCAAAATACACACAGTTGAACTCATTTACTAGTGAAGGCAATAATTTCCACTTTGTTTCATTT